ATGGATAGTACTCTTGAATTTTTCCAAATTTATGAATAAGAAGCGACTTAAGACGCAACATGCTTTTCACATTGACAATGTCTACTTTTTTAATAATACTTGCTGCATAATTCGGACTTTCTTGTATATTCTTTCAGTAGATTATAATGGATACAAATATTGTGATAGTACTTCTACACCGATCAAAATTATTTTGACCCATTTTTATTGCTTTAATCCTTCACTGAATTAAGAATACAATATAATTGTCCAACTCTACTGATGAAACGTGAGTTTGAAAATAGTTTTGAAGAAAATATATCGTAAAAAAACGAGAACCAAATAGTGGCTAAGTTAGTGTGTAAATTATAGGTAGGTCTATTCAAATTTACTAATTTGACTATTAAATCAAAACACAATAAAAGTATTGTGCAATCTTATATACCAAAAATGTCTTAATAATCATAATTAATGAGTCATTAAGGACTCCACCTCTTCTCGAATATTGGCTCCAGGTAATCGACAACATATATGGGTTGCTTTTATACTATCTTCATGGAATTTTCAAGAAAATATTGATGTACGATCCTAATTGAATTATGCTTTTATCGTGTCCATAGCATTTGTACGGAAATATTGATGCATGATCTAATCAAGTAATTTCGTGTGGAAAACGACTTACACTCAAAATTTAACTCCTTTTTTACCTTACGCACTAACATAGAAATATAAAACTTGAATTTGTACGCTGACTATTTAGTTAATTTGGGCTTTTGCTCGAGGGGGGTTCATTCAGCAATCAAAGGTTTAATTGGGCTGCATCGAGTCACTTTGAGCTTTCTTGTTCGTGGGTTTTTAACATGTTTTACACAAGGGAAAAATTTCATATGCAAGATAGTTATTGCTCACTTCAAAAATAAAAATAAAAGCTTCAAATTTTAAAAATCAGATATTCATTAAAATTTATTTATAATTTAATTAATTAATTATATATTTTATTAATTAAATATATTAAGATTGCAGATCTATACAACTTAGTCACAAATCTACAATTTAATTAGCCATGTATTATTTTTCACTGACAAATTAAATTTTTTTTTAATTTCACAAATTATTTTACGGCCACGATTTAAAAATTTTGTACGTAACAATTTGTTCATCAATCACGGATCAAATATTTATACGTTACAATTTAGTTATAGGTCACATATCAAAAATATTATAAGTCACAAATTATTAATTTTTTAGATCACACATTATTTCTTTGTCATAATTTATTACTTTTATTGGTCACATATTGTTTATTTGTTACAAATTAACTAATTTAACTGTCACAATCAATCAATTAATTTGTGATCACACTAAACAATCACTGCCTCCAACAGCACTATTGCCACCTTTTACACTAGAATCACCACCCAGCAATACTACTGTCTCAAACAAAATCAACACATCCACCTCCATAGACCACGACCACCAACATTTCATCGTCACCATCGCACCCATTGCCACGACCACTACAATCTACTGCCCCCACCACCCTCAAAACATGGAAGCTGCCACCACCCCACTCTTAACAACCAAAACCACCACAACTACCGCACCACACCTGCCATCAACCACTTGTGTTACCACTGCACGACACGACCAGATCTACCACCATTACCACAATCGTCACCACACAACAAACACACCATCACCACCACCCCCAACAAAATACCACTTTCGCACTGCAACCCACCACCCACCTCACCGCCATGTGCACAATCAACCACCAGATTCGACATTGCCAGCCACCGCCACGACACAAAAACCATCACCACCACCACACAAAACACCACTTCACCCACACTGATCATAGATCTGCTTCGTCACCATCAACACCACCACACAAACACTATTTTTCATCGCAACCCACCGTCCCACCTCACTGCCAGATCCACCACCATCACCACAACCACTAGATTCAACATCGCTAGCCACCGTCACAACACCGCCACCACACAAATACCATCACCACCATCACACAAATTCTAATGGTGGGTGATTTGCCGACGATTCTCAAGATGATGGGCGATGACGAGCTGTGTAGAGAGAGAACGGAGGGAGGTGACTAGGCTGTTGTGAGAGAAATGTAGAGAGAGGAAGATGGGTTGTGGGAGAAATGTAGAGAGAGTGTGAGTCGAAATTAATTAGGGTTTATGTGTATTGGAGAATATATATTTAGAAAAGAAAAATATTAATTGAAATAAAAAATCTGATTTTCGAAAAGTGAAAATTCTCCCTCGATTTTAGAATTTAGAATTTTAATACTAGGATTTTGTGTAATTTCCTCTTTACACAATTACACTCCAAGTATATTTGTGGGCCATCTCCATCTTTTCATTCGGAAATAGACATAAATAGCAAATGAGGCCAATATATAATTATTCACACTTCGTAGAGCACCAGTGCGAACATCCCAAGGTGAATGTCATTGATTATCCGGTTAACACCATACAATCATTTTAATACTAGGATTTTGTGTAATTTCCTCTTTACACAATTACACTCCAAGTATATTTGTGGGCCATCTCCATCTTTTCATTCGGAAATAGACATAAATAGCAAATGAGGCCAATATATAATTATTCACACTTCGTAGAGCACCAGTGCGAACATCCCAAGGTGAATGTCATTGATTATCCGGTTAACACCATACAATCAAACCAAATTTGGGTTCAGTTCTCAATTTTACTAGCTGAATTGATCGATTTGATTTGATTTTCAAAATATTGATCATAATTGAACTATCACTTGACTTTTATGAGTTGTAATATTTATTTATCGTTATTTTCTTTAAGAAAATGGATGACAACTCTTGATTAGAACAATAAAAAAATCATGACTCTTTTTTGTTTTTCATAAATTCATCTCACCTACGATGCCAACTTCAAAGAAGTCTTTAGTACTTGAGGAACGAACGATGACAAAAGTCTAACCTTTTATACATGTTGCTCCAAAGATTAATCGCATTAGATTATCAAACTATGCATCTCTCGTATAGCCACTCGTATTTGAATAGCTTTATAAATAATTAATTTGAACAAATTAAGAACATAATTAGCAGAAAATCAGTGAAATACGTTAGTATAACTAGATTTACTGAAAGAACACAAATATATTGTTACAATAATAAAAGAACCTGTAGTAGTGTTCGATTATTTAAAGTAGCTAGCTGGGTTATATTAAAACATTTATGTTTCATATTTTTGGATTGGGAACACTAGACTCTAGATCAATTTCTTCATCATCAAATATTTCTATTTCTGTTTTTGGAAGAAAACCAGAAGAAATAGCCATTATGTTGCTACCATGATCAACGTTTGTACTCTTGATGCTTTCTGATGCAATATTGTCCGTTTGTTCTGCGTCTCGAAAGCTCTTGTTTGGCATAAGTTGAGTACTCATTTTCATTTCTTTGCTTTTCCCAAATAGTACTGTATATAGCCCTAAAACTATTATCGCAGCTCCTATCACTCTAAAAAGAATTTTTAAAAAAATTAGTATCCAAATTTGAATAAAAGATTTTTTGTTATTTGGCGATAATTAAATTGCAACAAAAAATATATGTACCTTTCCAAGTGTAATTTCTCGTCGAGGAGTAAAGACCCAACAAGCGCAACGACTACAAGCATAAGAGGATTAAAAATGGACACAAAGAGTGGTCCTCTCATTTGAACGCAACACATGAGGCATACCCAAATTAGTCCTGAAGCCACAATTCCCTACACGTATAGGCACTTAATAAGATAATGCAAAGATTAATTCACTAAAAACACAAATTTGTTCTAGCTAGTTGGTATATTACTAGATTGAAAATGTTTTGATGAAGATCGCATTAAAAGAGGTATCACTTTTGATGATTGAACTTGAATTTTTTTTTTTTTTTTTTAATCCAGATTGGAACTAATAGGTTTTTAATGGTGTAACGGGTGCACGAGCACATGTTACACAATAGTTCATATTTAGTCATATTTAGATGCATGTTGGTTGAGTTTACGATAGTCAACATATTTCGTACCGAAGTTATTTGTATCATACATACCATGTAAGCTGCACCGAGAAGTCTGAGGTTCCAGCCTAGCTTCCATTGGTTCCAGTCTCTTTCCATTGAAAGAGCACATGCAAAAGCTTGAATTGACCGCATTACTGATACGAGAGCTGTACTAGAATAATGACAATGATAAATCTTACTCATTTTGGCAAGTTGTCATCACAAAAGAATGTCCTAAGTTTCATCACAAAATTAAATTATTATGATTATTCTTAACAATTTATAAAAAAAAAATGGTAAGGTTCACCTGAAGAATCAAGAAAAATGCAACACCGACATAACTAGCAAGTGCAAATAAATGACCCAATATTTGATTTATGAGCGTTTTGTGGGATACTGTCATGTGTCCAACTTGATTTTTGTTATTTTTCAAAAGGTTTAAGTGGGTCGACCATAAATTAAAGGTTAAGGCTAAGCTCTTTGCATTTAGATTTTGGTCCATTGATCTCTCAAAGTTTAATGGAAGATTAATGTAGATTATAATGATAATACAATATATAAAATAATTAACATATTTTAATAGCATAGCGAAGACATTTGAGAAGCAACTAAAACAAAAAGAAAATTGAGGAACAAATGATAAAAAAATATAATTAACAAAATTTGGTGAACGTATAGGTCATGCATTAAATTTCATTAAAAGGTCAGATGTCAATTAAGTGGCATTAACAGTCTTGAAAATAGAAATTTTTAATACAGCAGTATAGACGTGACCAGATTGATAAGCAGGGAAGTACTTTCAAGCAGGCCAAAATGAACTGAAATTCTTAATTAAATACGTCAGATTGACTTCTTTTCATTTTATTTTTAATTCCAACGTTTTTGTTGGGGTAAACAATTAATTTGTGTGTAGACAATCAACTAAAATAATCATAATTGAGTAAACTAACATAAATATTATAATTCAATAATAATATAAACTCAAAAGGAGAGTTAAGAAAGCAAGTTCTAGGGAGTATTATGAAAGACGATGTTCTAGAATTATGTTGTTTTTCCTTCGTATTTATACTTTTGTCAATAAACGACTTCAAGATATAATCCATATAGTTCCGCATTGATTTTCCTTCAATGGTCACCATCATAATGAGAAAAAGATCGAATACTAAGACTATATGAATATAATAATATGAAATGTATATGGCCTAATAATCCTTTAACTTTTGTTTTCAAGTTGTATATCTTATTCCCTTCATCCCAATTACATAGGCCTGTTTCGTTTTTCACACGGATTAAGAAGTTTTCTTTAATGTCATTAGAAAATTAATTTTTTTTTCAAGATGTTTCCTAATTTACCCATATTTAATTTTCAGTATGTGGTAGTAAATTATTGTTGGAATTAGTAAAGATTTTGAACGATTTAATTTAAAGAAATAAATGAGAGTTGTTCCATATTTTCAAAAAGTGAGAAATGTATATATTTGGATGATTTTAAGAAATTGGCATATTAAGCGAGAAAAATTAAATAAAAGTATATTGGTAAATGAACAAAACAAAAATTTCTAAATTAGGAAATAGGCCTATATATTTGGAGTAAGAGAAAAAGAAAACTCAGTCTATATAATTGAGACGGAGGGCGTACAAAGAAATATCATCCCTTCAACCCCCCATAATTAATCTACTAAAATAATTTGTACTATAAAATTAAGATGTTTTAATTTTGTATTTAATTAACAAAAACTGAAAATGAAATAAAAGAAAACAGAAAATAAATCAATATTTATTGTGTAAGTTTAAAACTTTTAAAACAATTATGACGATTCTGGCCAGAAATAATAGAAGGAAAGTTTGGTTTGGCTTTTAAAATTAGGAGTTACACCACGGATACAAAGTTTTATTCTAAATGGCATGTAAGTATTATTAATTGATAAATCACCTTAAAAGTAAGAAAATAGATTAGATTTAAGATGTCCAATCACTTGCACGATACCTAGGTTGGAGCTAAATAACGTTATTATAAAAATAATTGTTGATTTTGAATTTTTTGACTTAAAATTTTATCAACTTTTTTAACTAAACTAAACCGGGCCTAAATTCATAATACATTTTATGAGGATTTTATCTTTATTAATCAAACATATTGTGATTTTTTCCAGAGGCGGGTAAAATAATTTGGAGGCATTAAGACAATCGATAGTCTTTTTTTTTTTTTTTTTTTTTTAGAACAACAATAAAACAATTGCAGAGCAAATAACTGACAAAAATTCCATTGGCGTCATTGACGTAATGATTGTAGGTGATTGTGATCGAAGTCAATTTGTTGGTAATTACTAACACATTTGTCAGTGATCATCGATGACTATTGTCAATGATGTTAATGAGAATCAAAAACGATTTTTTAGTTGAGCAAACATTGAGAGCTTAACAAATTTTTTTTTTTTTTTTTTTTTTTTTTTTTTTTTTTTTGAGAACAACAATAAAACAATTGCAGAGCAAATAACTGACAAAAATTCCATTGGCGTCATTGACGTAATGATTGTAGGTGATTGTGATCGAAGTCAATTTGTTGGTAATTACTAACACATTTGTCAGTGATCATCGATGACTATTGTCGATGATGTTAATGAGAATCAAAAACGATTTTTTAGTTGAGCAAACATTGAGAGCTTTCAATGAATTCATGCCTAAGTTACTATCTAATTCATCCAATACTTGAATAAACTCTAATTTTTTTCACTATATATAACAACTTTATTAATCTAAGAATATGTTTGATTGCATTTATTGTCCATGAAAAATATTAGTTTTCTACCAAAATTCTTACGTTGGGTGTTTGATTGCTATTTTTTTTTCATTGAAAATATTTTTCAACTTTTGAAAATATATCTAAGGGTCCATTTGATTGCAACGAATTCCATGGAAAATGTCATGTTCGAAGAATTCGTTTTCTACTTTAGTTGTTTGATACAAAAGTGGAAATGTAGTTCGCATGTTTTTTACCAATTCCATGAAACTCAAATTCCTATTGTTTGATGGTTTTTTTTTTTTTTTTTTAATGGAATTTGTCAATCTTTTCCACATTTACAATTAAACGGATCCTAATTTCTTTGTTTTTAAGGAAAATATTTTCTTTGGGGGAGTAGATTTTTGTTTTCCTTAAAATAAGGAAAATATTTTCTTTTCTAAGTAATAATATTTTTTTATGTTAATCAAACACACTATAATTTGTCATCTTGATATAACATAACGAGATATTGCCAAGTTTACAACTTCTTTCAATCAACTGAAATTTTAATCCAGCGTACCAACATAGATATACCCAGTTCATTTGAATGATTTATTAAAATAAACAATAAAGCAGAATTTTAACAATTTCCAACTGTTCCAAACAAAGACTTAGGCCTCGTTTGGTACATATTAATGTAAAAATGAGAATGAAAAATATAGTCGTTACGGGCCCCCACACAAGAGATAGAAAGTCAAATATGGTGGTTTGATATGATGGATAACAATCATATTTTTATTTTAATGGACGAATAATAGAAAACAAACGGGGCTTAATTATGGTATTAACTAACTGTGCGTCATCGCCTACGTTGCACTCCACTAGGGTACCGAAAGCAGTAATTAGCACGGAAAGAACATAAAAATAAATGCAGTTGTAAATTTGTTCAATAAGATGACAAAAAATCGAATTACTACAGCTTATAATTTATATAGAAATGAATGGTGGATTAGATGGGTAGTATTTAAAAAAAATTAAATTAAATTAAAAAATTTGCAAATTTGACTTACTTTTACTTGAAAGTACATGTAAGAGGTGTTTATAAATGATTTAAATTAAAAATATACATAGAAATGAATAGTAGATTAGATGGGTAGTACTTATGAATTTTTTCAAATATATGAACAAGAAGTAACTTAAAACGACATGTTTTTTACATCGTAAATGTCTACTTTTTTAATAATACATGTTGCGTAATTTAGACTTTCTTGTATATTCGTTCAGTAGATTACAATGCATACAAATTTCGTGATAATATTTCTACACTGGTCAAAATTGTTTTTTGACCTATTTTTTATTCCTTTAGTCCTTCATTGATTTAAGAATACAATATAATTGGATTTAAGAATACAATATAATTGTCCTACTCAAATATTGAAACATGTGTTTAAAAATAGTTTTGAAGAAAATATATTTTAAAAAGTGGGAATCAAATAGGGGCTAAGTTAGTGTAGAAAATATAGGTAGATATATTCAAAAAATTTAATTTGACCATTAAATTAAAACCCAATAAAAGTCTTGTGCAATCTTATATACCAAAAATGTCCTAATAATCATAATTAATGAGGTCATTAAGGACTCCACCCGTTTTTCAAAAAAATATTGATGCATGATCTTAAATGTTGTGTTTTGGGGGGGTTTTTTTTTTTTTTTTTTTTTTTTTCTCCCTCCTCCATCAGCACTGTCTATTCATTTTTACCATTATTATTTTGCAGGAGAGGACTGTCAAATTTCTACAATGGAAAGTCAAAATCATTTATGATTTAAGCGTAGAAGAATCCAAGTTGAAAAATTTTCCCCCTCTTTATCTTTTATTTATTTATTACTATAATAAAACTTTGCTCTTGTGTGAATGAAAATTTTCATTCCCCAAATTTTTTTATGAGAAAGAAATTTACGCCACTGCAAGTTTTTTACAAATTTGTATGCTTTAACTGGCATGTAATTAAGTACAGTGACTCAATCTAGCCTATGTTACTTACGTGTTTGCCTTTGAAATATTTTGTGATAAATTATTGTAAATTTAAGTTATGTTTTGTTTGGGACTCCCATTATCATTTGAGATGAAATTGGCCAGTGGAATTCACGGGTCTATTTGGGACTCCCGTTTTCACTTGAGTTAATTTTATATTATCCTAATCCTAGCAAATCTTTATTAGAAGAGTTTGAATTAATGGTTAGTTGTATGAGGATAAACTCTTCCTGCACGAGAGTCTTCGTTTACCTCCACAATTTAGTGTTCCATTCATTTTTCAGTTGATAGCATAGCGGCAAAGATTGATCATGAATTAAAATTCAAATAAAGGTGAAACACAAGATGCACAAAACCTAAAATTTATTTCAACAGATTTATACTCACCCCGTTTTATTTCAATTCATGTGATATTTCAGCATGTATAAATATCATTATATATTATATGTGGCCCCTTACAGGGTTTAAATATGAGCTGGTGGCATAGTAGTGCATTAAAAATGTGATGTTGGTGGCGGAGTAATGCACAAAATGTTGGTATGTTGTCTGATCGCTGATATACTTATTCATTAAAAGTTCATATGACATGAATATATGCTTAAAGTATAATATGATTGGATTTAATGTGCGTAACAATTTCAGATTAATGTGATCGATGGAGGTGAGGAGGGAAGCAGTGTGGTGCCTTGAAATGAACTTGAAAAATCTTCATTTGAGTCAAGTTTTGTTCAAATAATTATTTAAACATTTGAAGTATTTTAATTTAGTGTTTTTCAAATGTTAAATGACTGAGTTGTGTAACGGAAATTTCTTCAAGTGGATAGGATATGTTAATTTGGTTTATTTAGTTCAACTGACTAGTGTTTGAAATATTTTCAGTTTTTGTCCCAAAATTTAAAAATTCACCTCGATCAAAATACTTGAAATTTTGAGGTGATTTTCATTAGGGTGGGTATCTCTCAGACTTGAAATCATGAATTTTGATTGTGTATAACTCAAGTTATGGACATTATCCTGAGGGCTGCCAAAATGTACCCCGAGAATAAATAGATCCGGTTTTGAAAATAATTTTGACCCATCCAGTGCCGGTCCTGTGCTTTCGAGGCCCTGAGGCGAACTTCATAAATTAGGCCCCCCTCCCCGAAAAAAAAAAATATTTTTTTTTGGCTCTAGAATCATATTTAGTAGACACCATGGTATATGACTACGTGCGCCTATGCAATTGATCATTCGATTAAATCTAACAAAAGTCAATATATAACCCGACAAGGGTGCAATGCTACAATGCAATCAAATAAGCCGACAAGGCCTTAACCATATAAGTTTAATATAAGTTTAATAGTTTATAAATAAGCAAGGGCAAGCTATCACTCACCTGAGAAATA